TGCATATATTGTATATTTAGATATATACATATGTCGATATGTAGGTATGGATAAGTATATAACAGAAATATATATATAAAATGAACACGAATGAACGTTGGCAAATGAACGGCTGAATAGCTGAATAACGGCACAGATTTTACGTGCATGTAGTGAGAGTAGAGAGCATCAATGCCAAAAACCAAGAGAGCCGATTAACATCTAAACTCCATTGTTATTGGTTAAACGGTAATATGCAATGCAGGTATACTCACACAAACATTAGGCTGAATGCGGTTATAGTATAAAACAAAACACCAGCAGCAATATAATGAACACAATGAAGTAGGGGAGACGACGTAATAGCAGCAGTGAGAAAAAGAGATGAAATCAATTGAAGGAAAAAACAAAATAACAAAAGCAGCGCACAGTGTTTCGAATTTAGCAAGCTGCTTAATCTAATAAAATTACCGATAATTTTAGCTCCGTATATACATACTTACATATGTATTTATGCATAGCAAATATGTATATAATTGGCGTCAAAAACGGCGTTCCCATTCTACAAATGAATTAACCTTTAGAAACTGCAGCTAGATTTTTATTTACAAAAAATTGGTCCAGCACTAATACTATTTGACTTGTGAAAGCATATTGACATATGTTTGCATGTATGTATGTACATAAATCAGATTTCGGTACATTATATATATTTCTTAATTTATCTACATACATACAGTCACACATATGTACACTGTATGTAGGTTAATTTGGTAGTTTTATGTACATATTTAGCTAATATTGTTAGGGTGGGAACTATGTTTATGGCCATCTTTTTGCCACTGTCTAAAGAAAGTGCACACCTTTTTTTCATACATTTCACTCATTATTTCGGTGTAAAATAATAAAAAAAAATTTAAAGCAATTATCATTACGAAACCAAATATACTCCGTATTTTACGCATCAAAATTAAGTATACAAATGCGGTAGTAGGCTTCGCATTTTCATTTTACGCAGAAAAAAGTACCGTTATCAATAGTTCTTTCATTGCAACTACTCAATCTAAAAAAAAAAGCAAAAAAAGTGAAATAGCAGATCGACAACGTTCAGGTAGACCAAAACGACTTAATAATACTGGAATACGGTCATTTGTGAGAGCTGCGAAGACCCAACTGCGTGTGCCGTCAAATTATCGGAAGAAATGTCCCGAACATCCGTACTGAATATTAGTGCCAGCACGATCATGCGAGCATTGCATTCTAATGGTCTGTATGGCCGGGTACCGAGGAAAAGACCTCACATCTCTACGCAGAGTTAAAGCTGGATTTGATTAATGTAATTTTTTCTGACTAAAGCAAGTTCAAAGTTTTCGAGAAGAAATAAATACTAAAAGTTGGCGAAACAGAAATCAAGAGTTTAAACAGAAAAACATAACCTCCACTGTAAAGCATGGTAATGGCAAGTAGAGCACATTGACCCAATTTAATTATCTAAACATTTTAAAAGAAAATTTGCTTCCTAGCATTGAGAAATTGGGCTTAGATCAATCCTGTATCTTCCAAGAGGACAACAATCCTCAACCTATGGCAAGAATAGTAAAGGAATGCTTGCTTTACCGTACACCTAAGCAACTGGATCGCCTCCACAATCACCGGACCTCAACCTCATTGATCATCTGTGGGAACATTTGGACCGGCAAATAAGGAAAAGAAATGTAACCAGCAAGAATACACTGAAAGAAATTTTACTAGAGGAGTTGCCTAAAATTTCACCGGAAGTAGTGTCCAATTTAGTGGGAATCAATGCCAAGGAGGTTGGAAGCAGTTATCAGTGTAAAGGTAAGACAGACAAAGTATTAGAAATTAGTAAGTTCTTAAATATTTCCAAACTGTACACTTTGTTTTGACGTGTAAAATACGGAGTATATTTGGTTTTGTTTTTGTTTTTTTTTTGTTCCTGTAAAGTTTTTTTTTGATTGTTGTTAATTTCTTGTAAGAACAATATTTAATCAATTGTAAATAATAATTGATTTAAAAGATTTTAATTTTTTTTACACCGAAGTAAAGACTGAAATCTATGAGAAAAAGGTAGGTGTACACTCTCTTTTGACGTTCAGTGTATATACATAGCTCTTCAGTGAATAAAATAATAATAATAAATAAAATATTTATTAAGTGTCACTAAATACTTGTCATATTATATATGTATGTATATTGTACACCTATTATACAAATATAATATAATGTATGCATATCTACATATCTATATTATTCACTTTACCAAAACAAATGTGTTTTTATGTACATATGTATGTATGGTGTGAATGGGAGGAGGAGTTACGGAAGCACACTTGATTTGCATTTGAACGCACCTTACCATTTTTTGTTGTGGTTTTGGTGAATGCAAGTACAATTGATTGAAACTGATAATCCTTGAAAAAAAAACATGTACTTATGTACATACAATCTGAAACCGAAATTTGATTTAATAAATGTTTGCAGGAGCCCATGGAGAATTGAAATTGATAGAAATTTCATTCTAAAAAAGAAATTTCATATCCTATTCTGCAGATATTTAAATATGTATGTAAATATATCACTAATTATATATCTATGTATTTATGTATGTATACATTTATGCAAGTATGTATGTATATGGGGCAGATGGTTTCATATTGTGATTAAAAATAAGTGAGGTAAATTAAGTTAATATATACACATACATACATTTGTATTACTAAACTTTTCAACAAAACATTAAAATTAATAACTGACGAATTCCGAGTTATCGCTAAATTTCGACGTCGGAAAGAATCTTCTTTCACAAAAAAATTATATAAAGTGACAACTTTTTATTTATTGCTAACGTCCGCCTTCGTGCGGATGCCAATGATAGTGGGAGTAGGTCCTCGCAACTACTTTTCCAGAAAGGGAGTAGATCCCTGAGACATATAAATAAAAATTGTTATATTAGAAGGAAGAGTAGATCCTCACCGCCTCTAAATATGTGAACTAATTTACAATAGAAGAAGTAATAGCTCCTTACCATTCCCTAAAGCATAAAAGAGGGAGTAGTAAAGTGATACTAAACATACGAGAATTTTAGTTGTTGGTCGAACCAAGTCTCGAATGGCACGGCCTTGTAGTCGCCAGTTATTTAATTAACACACAAAAGAATGACCTCTCACTCTAGCACATTACAAAATTTCGTTTCTCAAAACTTTAATAACCTTAAGGGGTTATGATATGATTTAACGGCAATTGTAATTATGCTTTCGTTCCTCCGCTAAATAGGATTGTGGATCCAATTAGTAAAGGAATTTTGGAAACTCTTTAAAAAAAAATCCTCAAGAGGAGATTTAGGGATTGCCATGTTCTCTTTATTATGAAGTCGTTTTTTTATTATTTACTTTAATACAAAATTTTAGTTATAAACATAACTAAAACCTAAAGTGTAATGAAACAAAGTTCCGGACACTGACAAAAATCTTCCTTTCATAAATTTTCAGTCACCACAGTTACATACATACATACATATGTACTTATATGTATATAAATGAAACCTGTTATAACTTTAGAAATAAATCCATGCAACAAATGCTTTTATTTTTGCTATAAAAATATTAAATTTTCTTGTTTTTTTTTTGTAAAAAAACTGTGCGTCAACTACCACACCTACCCTACGTACTATGTACAAATGTACACATATTTAAACTGTTACAAATTCGTACATACATATATAGTATCCCCTACATATGATGACAAAACTCGGATTTTTCATTTAACCATTCACTTAATGCAAGTATTGTTAATTTCAAAAAAAAAAATAATAATAATTATCTTTATGTAAGGCGAAGACAAAATATAAATAATTAACATAAAAGCAAATAATGGACTTTGATAACAAGAATCAAGTACGTCATAAAAGGGTTTCGCGTGCATATTGTGATTACAAATAAACGCCTATTATTTGAGCGATTCTATCCTTTACGCCTTTCGCATATTGTTATACCGTATTGCATTGACAATTCATGCATACATACATCCATACATACATGTATGAATATCTAAATGCTTATTTTAAAAGCCACTCTCCCACAACTAGCGGAAGAGAGAAGGCAAACCGTGTACAGAGGATGGAGATGGATGTTGTTTCCCCCTCAATTGCCAGGACAAAACATGCGTACAACAACAAACAATGCGACAAACAGCCAAAGAGCTGTAACAAAGAGACATACTGACATCTATGCATCCGAGTGGACATCGTCAGTCTCACTCACAGCACAATGCATGTATACCGTACTACACAGAAGGGACTGAGCGTACAGAATGCAATAAAGCAGTTTTGTGCGCAGCTTTTGTTCATTGGCAAATGACAAAGACCGAGTTGGCGCATGAATAGCAGCTACCACCATCCCCAACTGGAATTCCAACTAGAAAGCAACCACAGTAAAACATTTGATATTCTCTGCTAAAATAACTACAAGCAGTAGTTAATATGTAGTTTTATTGCCTTGCCCCTAAATAGTGCTGCCTTGCTTTGTCAAATGATTAATGTCGGTTAAACAGCGAGCAAATGCCATTGGTTGTTTCTCTAGGATACTATATATTCGACTCACTCACTCAAATGCATTCGTATGCACCGTACTTCTTAAAAGTCAACCCATTTTTGGCGGGTGGAAGTGAGCCATCCTATATTGAAGCTGCTTTCTTGCCTGTGTATATTTAGGTTTAGCGGTCATCGATGAGAGAGCTTAACAAGAGAGAGAGTTAAAGCGTGGAGTAATAAAAAAATTGTTACGTATTAAAACCAGAAGAAATTGAGCATTGATGTGTTTGTAAAACAAACCCTAATTGTGCAGACTGTCTGAGAGTACATAATAAATTGAAAACACTTCAACAAAAGACGAAAGAGAGAGATATTGTAGTGTTTTTACCTTGCTTACATTGCTATTGTATTTTTTGGGGCGGAATTATGTTGGAAGAACGAAAATCAGCTATGGTATGAATATGTGAATTGTGAGCGATTGTTGTGTTGAGAAATCAGTCTGTGTGAAACTGTTGAAGTGAACAGAAGTGAACAGAAATATAATTGTCGCGAGATATGTAAAACTTGTCGTTGAGTGCTATATTTGAAATTTAGAGAAAACGCAAGAACTGTCATATAATAAAAACAATACATATACGAATTGCAACAAAGAAGGAAGAACTGCATTTACATTTTGTGAACCGCTTTAACATTGTTGAAGTGTACCTTTAATTGAATTTTTATCGAACTATATTTTGCAAAATATAACGCAAAAAGCAAAAGTTTAGTGTTCGTGCACGTCTTTTCATACGAATTAACAAAATGACGACATTATCTTCACATCCAAATTATGGCTTTCATTTAAGTCAAGGTTTAGATATACACACGCCCGGCGATTATGCATCTCAAACTAATCTCGGTCGTAGCGATATGGATATAAAGCCCGTAATGCATTTCTCACAAACTGGTGGATTAGCTGCAATTTCGTCAGCGATGGGTAGTTCACCCGTTGGCGGTCATTCAGCTAGCAATGGAAATTCCATTATGGGCACAGCAAGCATGGGACACATGGGTGGCGGCAACGGAAGTAATATCCACAGCGGCTTGCATCATTTAAGTGGTGGCATTCACATGCAAGCTGCCGCCGGACATCAAACATTATCCCCCAACTCGTCAATTGGCTCTGCTGGCAGTATAGGTAGTCAAGGTTCTTTGAGCCATGGAGGTAATAACGGAAGCAATAGTATGCACCATCATCCCACCTCTCCCGGTCAGGAGGGTCATATAAAACGGCCAATGAATGCGTTCATGGTTTGGTCTCGCTTACAACGTCGTCAAATAGCTAAAGACAATCCAAAAATGCATAACTCTGAGATTTCTAAGCGTCTCGGTGCGGAGTGGAAATTGCTTCCGGACTCTGAAAAACGTCCTTTCATCGACGAAGCCAAACGTTTACGAGCTCTTCACATGAAAGAACATCCAGATTATAAGTATCGACCACGACGCAAACCAAAAAACCCCTTAACTGGTGGGCCACAGTCAATACAAATGCAGTCGGTGCAAGGACAACAGAAATTAGGTGGTTGCGGTGGCGGTAGTGGAGCATCGTATAATCCATTCCATCAAATACCAACTTATTTTGCATCACATCTGGATCAACCATATCCGGTACCGTATTTTAGTGGGTTCGATCCTTTAGCGCTCTCTAAATTGCATCAGAGTCAAGCTGCCGCTGCTGCTGCAGCCACAAATCAATCACACAGTGTACTTGAAGCACAAAAAGCTCCACAATTACCGCCAACAACATTGAGCAGTTTTTATTCTGGCATCTATTCTGGCATATCAGCACCCTCATTGTATGCTGCACATTCAGCGAATGCGGCAGCGGGACTTTACAATTCCTCTTCGACTTCATCACCAGGCTCCTCACCTGGTACACCAAATGGTATGGAATCATCAGTTTCCTCAGTGATGGATAATACCCTGAGGCGGCCGGTACCGGTTTTGTACTAAAATGACGTTAAGCTCGAATTGTTAAAGGTTTAATTAGTGTATTAGTGTAAATCAGTCCGTTTTTATGTGTGTGATCTTGTAATAGTTTTTTCCCATATAAAAAACTTTATCAAAAAAAAAAATCATAGACATATAAAGATTTATTACATCATCATCAGTACCTATAAAACAATGTTAAGCGGAATAATTTTTAAGCCACAGACCACAGACCACAAATATTACGGCTATTCATCTAAAAGTAGATGAGCCTGTCTGTTGAGTACATAATGTTACAAACGTCAAAAATATTTACTAATTTTAAGGATAGAAATGTCAACGACTCGTGTACTTGAGTCATAAAGTAAAAGTCGCTCATTGAAATTCATCAGCCGTGCGAAGGCGGCTCAGGCTCAAAAGCTGTAGGTCTCTCTATTTGTTGGAAAATATCATTTATTTTACTTTAATTATTTCACTGTATAAGTTATAAAAAAAAAACTCTTGTTCTTTAAATGTTATTTTCATAATAAAGCTAGTTTTATCTAAAAATAATTGTAAATAAATAATTTATAAAGTTGTGTGATTGCAGTGCTTCATTCATATTTGTATATATAAATATATAGATTAAAATTAAATATATATGTATATATAAATATATATATATATGTTTATTTATATGTAAATGTAAATGTAAGAAATGAGTGGCGAGCTATAATAAATTCGGCTATACTCGCTTAAGCGATATCTAAGGCAGTAAAAAAGAAGAACGTGTGTAGAATAGTATTATAACCTAAAAAATAAAAATATTGATTAAATAAAACAAATTTGAGTTTAATTTTTAAGATGATATATATGTATGCATATATGTATATAAATCTTGTATACAAACAAATAAAGCTTTAAATCAAGAAGGGTTCTAAAAAATGCATAATGTAATCTTGAGACTGGACACTAACAAAGTGTATGAGAAAGTTCAAAAGCCAAATCCAATGAAAATCAGTTAAACAAAAAAAAAGTACAACTTTTTGTTCAAAGTGCTGATTACGTTCGTGTTCGAGTAATAAGTATGGCATAGGTTTGCGAATAATAATATAAATATGTATGTATATAGGTAGGTACATGAAGAGGTAATAATAACTTTGGTTCGAAGTATGAAGTATGTAAGTACCAGAAGAAGAGAAAAAAACTGATAAGAGCAGAATGAGATTTTGATTTTAGATCTCTCTACAAATACCTTACGGCAATATTCTTTACATCCTAACTGATTAAAACCTCTACGCAACCGATTTGTTCAGATATGAACTTTTAGGTTAAAAACCTTTCGAGAAAACATCTGAAAGCGTGCAAATCGGTATTCTACATTCGTACCTATTTTCAAATGAGTATTGGTTTAAAAAAGTCATCGAGATCGGAGAACTAGATGATTAAACCTATATACAACCGATTTGCTTTGACATGAGGTTTCAGGTGAAAAATGCGTGAAAAGTGTAGCGGAGAACGAGAAATTCGTATGTTACATACGAAATATTGACCCTGTTTTAGGTTTGCATGTTTATCTAAATAAAATAAAAAAATATTGTAAAGTAAAAAACAAAAATAATTATTAATATGCTTGATATTTCACCTAAATTAGCAAATTTGCTCATCCAATCTTTCTTTTTTTTACCGCAATTGCAGTTGATGTAAGGCAGTTAATTGATGTAAATGGAATTTCGACCAAAAGGTCGTTGAGAAGGTTTGTTATGGTGTACGGATGTTGTTGCGTAACAAAACTCTCAGTGAATAATTTCGTTTTTATGCAAAGTATTTATTTTTATGATTAATATTTTCACTTTTAACCTTCCAAAACTTGTTTTTAGCGTAGTTCCGTTCTTGATCCGTATATAACCAAACAACAGTTCTCTTCGGTGAGATATGTTAGTAAAGTCTTTTGATCTCTTAAAAGAGATAATTTAATAAAATTTTCAAATTTTAATTGTATTAAAAAATTTTTGTAATGCAACAGTGACGTAATTCTACAATCTTCATAATCATCAAATCCTAAATAAACCAGTAAATACATTCCTTCTGATGAGTCCTCTAAAAGGCGGAAGATTTATGCAAAGTTAGAAGTCTTTCTTCCACAGTAGTCGGCGATCTTAACTCAATATTTCAAAATTTCTTGCATTCTTGCATTCTTTTTAAATGAAATCCTAGCATATTCATATTTTCTTTTCAAATCGATCAACACTTCATTTTGTACACCGTCATCGCTTTCGGACGCTTAAGATTGCATTGGAACAACCTTACTGCTCTCGTAATTAATTTTACTGGTTTGCCTCACCGAAAGTGGTACAGTAAAAATTAGTATCAGTTGTTACGCTTGCTCTTTTTTTTACTAAATTAAAATGAACATTTCAGTTTACCGAGTTTAAAAGTCTGTTCTTTTCGTCTAATGCTGCAACTACCCAACTCACGTACCTTCCGTCCACCCTACCTTATGAGAGCGCCATGTAAACACAAAGTTGTAACCGCTTGCCCATGCCGTTAGTGACGGTTGTCCCGAAGAAACCAATTTTTTCTGTAAAACCGGCTGTGCTCATTTCTCGTTGCTATACAAGGTTGCCAAGGTTGCATTTTTAAAGTAATATGAAATAAGCGAAGATAATGCGTAGTTTTTTTTTTTCAATAGCAATGAAAAACTAAATTCTGAACTAATTATTTGTTACCATATAGGTCATGTATATTTGATTTGCGTTTATATTCGAACACATAAATTATGAAATTTGTTGACGAAAATTATGTATTTGTTCAGAAGTGTGCAAACACACTGGCAGCTGGCAACATTTCGCCGCTCTCAGCTACGTCAACAATTGTGTATGTATCTTGCGCTTGACGTCGCTTGTTATGGACGGATGGTAAGTAAAATGGGTAGTTGCAACATAAGCCAACTTTGTTGCGAAGGTAGAAAATATCAATAAATAGAACAAAACGTAGACAATTTGTTTATTTTTGAGTTTCCTTTATAGTAATTGATATTATATTTCAAATATTAACATTTTAAATTTTAATGACTCATTTGACTCATTTGCTTGTGTTTAACTGTGCGCATGTGTAGTTTATATAATATTATACATACATATATTACTGTAATAATATTACTGTGCAGGTACCTATGAAAAGGGTATCCGAAAATTTTCATTTATGCAAATGCCCTTGCTTTTGTTGTTGTTGTGATATACCTTCTAGGAAGGTCAGACAATTATGTTTACATTGTAAAATTAAAAAATTATAAAATAATAAATATTTCATCGAAATAAGTACACATGGCAAATACATATTTGTTTGTAGTGTTTTAAACTATTTTTTTTTTGAAATTTTTGTTTTTAATTTAAGTATTATTAGGATATGTATGTATATGCATAATGCCGCTTTTATATTTTATAAAATTTAATCAAAACAACTAAATTAAAATACACACTCGTATGTATGTGTATGTTTCTATATTTTTAATGCAATTTAAGATTGTATATGTATGTACATATGTAATATTGACAAATGACTATACCTAAGTTTAACTGCCATTTCAAGGTCTCGGTGGACTTCGTATCGAACATTTATAACCTCAATGTCGATGAAATTATGGCTAAGCTGCGTGACCTTCAAACATAAACAAAATAAAAAATGGACCGCAAAGGGTCTCTTAAAAAATGCCTTAAATATATGTTACTAACGAATAAGTACTCACTTTAACCTTAAATTTTGCTGATCTTTGGTATATATGTACATAAACGAGGCTGATAATATCGCGACCTAGTATATTAGTACAAATAACACAACTTTGTTTATTACTTTTATTATTATTTTTTTTTTTTCATGTAACAAGCAACAACACTACGCCAGCAGAAACTTGAAATGCTCGCAATTTGGAGCACCGCGCTGGATTAAATTTCATTTAAAAACAATACGCCGAAAAAGTTTTAAAGAGATGTCATCGGTTCTTCATGACTCTGCCCTTTTATATACCATGGTGCATAAATGCGCCGGACTATTTCAACAAGGAAGAGAGACCCGCTGAAAGAAGTGTTCAGAAAGTCGAAATATTAGTACTGGCTGATCGAAGAATTGAAATATGGGAGGTGGCAGAAGGGTTACAGATTAGCAAAAAAGGCAGGACGTTTGAATATGAAAAAAAAAATAGTGCGCGTTGGGTACCGCAGATGCTCATGCCGCTCGAAAAGCAGCGACAGTTGGAGAGTGTTTCAGATTTTTCGGAGTTGATGATTTGGAGGAAATCGCATGGTAACAGTTGCTAAAACTTGGATTCGAGAGTTGATCTCGAGTCCAAGCAGGAGTCAATGCAGTGCAGTGGATGCCTACAGTCCGGATATGGCTCCCAATGACTATTTCATTTTCTCAAATTAAAAAAAATAAGTTATGGGGACGAAGATTTCCAGGTGACAGTGAGATGAAAGCGGCCGTAGAAAACTTTGATATTAAGAGATGTGAAAAGTGTATTTCACTTGAGGGAGACTATCTTGAAAAATATAAAAGAGCAAAAAATACTATACACTTTTTTCACTAAGTACTTTAGGCCGCGGGATATTCAGTTTATTATTCTGAGCCGCCTCCGAAAGGTTGATGTTTTTTTTGTGACGAGCTTTTACTTCATGTCCGAAATACTCTCGGAGAGCTTGACATTCTTTGCCGAGAATTTTGGTCGAACTAGGACTCGAACCCTGGTCTTCAGTATGACACTACGCAATACTAACCACTCGGCTATTGAGATCGCCGACAATGATTTTTCTTTTTAAATTCAAAATCCGTTTGTTGGAAAAACAGCAAGAAGCAAAACCAAAGATTGGAGGAGGAACTCGGTCGTAAATCGCTTCGCCAGCTATATATGTGTATAATAGTAGCTGCTGTATAAATATAATTTCAATTTAAATATGTCTACAACAAATTTTACTTTAAAAATATAAAATGATTGAATTGAAATTTAAAAAAGTTCTGTAAAAAAATTACCATTTTTTATTTATTTAATTTAATTGTATATACTATTTTAATTTTTTGATTTATTTTTTTTTTGTTTATTTTATTTTTGGTTTAATTTTGAATCAATTTGTGTTAATTTTATTTTAATTGTATTTTAATTATTTTTATGCCTATTATTTCATATTATATTTTATATCATTTAAAATTATTTTACTTTTTTCAAGTTCGTTTTAACTTTATACATATATATTTTACTTGATTTAATTAAACTAAATTAAATTAATTTTTTTATTTAATTTTTTTTTTAATTTCGCTTGCAGTAGTAGTGTAAAATAGTTTCAAGTAAAAAATCTGTAAAATAAATTTGATCACAAAAATTAAGGCGTAAAAAAATTAAAAATTATGTAAGAAATTGCATTTGAAAACAACTCAAGTTTGGTTCCTAATTTGTTGATTTTTCATTAAACCATATCTTGAGGAAGTTAAGACGGAAATATATTTAATTCATAAAAAGTGTTTGTAAAAACCTTTTTATACTTTTTGCATGCTCTTTTAATAGGAAAAAATATTCTTAAAGTTTTTCAAGTTCACTTTTGCGTCTCACGCATTTAAGTATCAACAACTATCATAAGTTATTTCCTATATACAAATTTACTATAGGCATTTTATTTAATTTAATTCCATTTCACTTTGTTTTAGTTTGATTTTATTTTTTGTTAAATAGTGCTTGATTTAAATTATGTTTAATTAACAATAATTTTATTTGTTGAAATTTTAATTATTTTTATTTAATTTAATATAATTTTTTATTCAACTTTATTTAATTTTTTTTTTTAATTTTTTTATT